AGGAAGACAAGCCCTGGGTTAGACTCAGCATCACATAAACTGGTTGCAGTGGTGCACACCTATAACCCACTTAGGAGGTGGAGACAGGAGGATCAGTAGTTCAAGGTCATCCTTGACTTGCATACTGAGGCTAAAACCATCCAGGGCTACATGAGACCCTGTCACTACAACAACAATAAAATATTATATGATCAGAAAATATGTGAAAGAGGAACCAAAAGTCAAATTTAAAAGAAACCTCTCCCATCCTGCTACTGTTGACAATTATGTATGCTTGTTAGACAGACAGACAGACACATGATTGTTAGGCAGAAACTAGAATGGTAGTGAGTGAAAATGTTTTTTTCCAGTCTTAACTTTTTTGATAACTGTCATGGTTAGTATTGCTCTGTATTTCTTTTGTAGAAAGCTTGCTTCAGTCTTTCCAACATTTCTTTTGGGATGATGGCCTTTGTCTTGGTTTCATTTGTTGTTTTGCTTTCTGTTTTTGTGACGTGGGAAATAAACTCTGGGCCTCTGGGTTTTGATGGTCTTTTTTATTCTAAAAAAAATTCAGATTGCGTTTTTAATTTACTTATTGATTGACTGATTGATTGATGATTGATTGATAGAAGGGGAGTCAGTTCTCTCACTCCACCATGTGGACCCAGGGATTGAACTCAAGTGGTCAGACGGGGCAGCAAGAATCTGCTGTGGAACCTGCGGTTTGTCTTTCTTCAGTTCTCAGTCTCCGGCTCTTCTGTCCTTGAACCTGATCTGCACATTTTATGTCCTCAAGCAACGGGCTCACCTTTAATGCGCTTGGATCTCTATCTCTGTGAATGGATCACAAAGCAAAAAAACAAACATTTCCCCCTTCAGACAAGTAAACAGTTATTCCAACACCATGTTGGTACCGTCTAACCTTTTTCTAGTGTAGGAAATCAACATCTAACCATTCTAGACTCCATATTTATTGTTCTGACCTACAGGACAGCCAGAGCTACACAGAGAAACCATGTCTCAAAAAACAGAGAGAGAAAGAGAGAGAGAGAGAGAGAGAGAGAGAGAGAGAGAGAGAGAGAGAATTTTAGTATATTCTATATTACATATAGTATATGCAATATACATAGTTTTCAAAGAGCAACATAATACACATAATATCTTATTGCTTACCTTCCCATTTGGTGTGTTATAAATCTCTCTTTGCTTTATTCTTAACATTATTTTTTTCATATAATCCGCATTAAGCATCAATCCCCTGATGTCAGACATATAGATTGGTCCATCTTTTAACGTTGTAAATAGTTACATGGAGAACATCTTAGAAGCTCCATCTTTTTGTCTCTTCATAAATGATTTCCTTACAAGAAGTTTCTAGAAGTGGAATTTCTAGGACCTAAGGCATCCAACAATCTCAGGCATTCGTGACAAGGTAACAAGTAGCCCTTGAGAAAGCTGAGGAACATTAATTCTCCCACCTCCACTTTTTAATATGGATTTTTTTATTTTAGACTCTGCCTTCTCCATTACACCAAAGGTGCCTCTTAGGTTCTTAAGCCAGCTGGTGTCAACAGTGGCAGTGTTTCTGTCTGCCACCAGCTGTGTTCTGGCCATCTACAGCCTGAAAGAAACCGTAGAGTACCAACTTCCCAACTGAAGATCTATTTCATGAAGAGATGGATCCTCAGCTCTGGACTCTGACATCTAAGGTTAAACTAAAATGGTTAACTCAGCCATGATCTTTGCTTGCAGCAGAAGGTGTCTGAGCCCCGGGGAGATGTAAGTCACTCCAGGATTGCTACTTCTAAGTACCAGAAGATCCGTCTGGAGCTTCAAGTAAAATAAATAAATAAATAAATAAATAAATAAATAAATAAATAAATAAATAAATAAATAAATAAATACCCCTTCCTTGTCATTTTTATCAGGGAAGGGGTGTCATATTTCTTCCCATCAGGTGTTCTCTTGGCAAGAAACATGCCTCCTTGAGAACTGCTTCCAGCAAGCAAGTGACTACAAACACATCTGCATTGACAAGTTGAGACTTATATCCTTCTATGGTGCTTTTGCTCTTTTGAAAATGTTAATAAAAACTTAATGTGGAAAAAAACCAACTTTTTCCAAATATGTGTACCAATGGGCCCGAGGCAACTCATACTTTCTTATAAAATAAAGTAGGTCACTCACATCAATCATGTCGTCTTAGCACATTTTTTCCAAATTAGGAATTCTCCATCCATCATCCCACAGCATGGCAGCCCGTTTCCAAACATTTCCTTCTAATATGCTCTTTAACATGATAAGCAAATCTAATAGAATACATTAGTGTCACTTGTCAGTGATGGAGTGTTTCCTCCTGCTGCTGTCCTCCATGAGGAGTTCGGGGAAACTTTTTTATGAGTGCTCTCCTTGACAGTCATCAGTTGTTGAAAATATGACAATGGTCCCAGAGCTAATCAAGGCCACATTTGAGATAGCAGCATTAGAAAAATTGTCAACAATCTAGATTCTAGCTCACCACCTTACCTGTCATAGATGTAGAAATTCAAAAGATATGTGCGTCTCCAAATAACAGGTCCAGATTCTGCGCACAGAGAAGTGTTTAAATTTAGCCTGTGGCTTCAGTGATGTTGCACACCCCAGGCTTCATGTCAAGCCACATTGCCTGAAGAATAATTCTGAGTCTTCCAGATTATGCAGAAAGAGAGGATCCTTGGCTTCAGATGTGTGTGATTCTACAAAACTTGTTGCCATTTTTTCCAAGTGGCTTTGGACCCTGTATGAGCGGCATGCTCTGATTATGACCCACTTGAGATAAATGCTGTTTGTGACATTTACCTGGCAAAAATGGGGTGTTGTTTCCACTCCAATCTCTGGTTCTCCAACTCATGTGTTCAGTGTTAGCAATTGAATTTCTGAAGGAATTTTTTTCGGGGGGGAGGGGAGACTGAGTTTTGGCATAAAACATCCGGGCAAGTTGCAAAGGGGAGATGCATGCAAAGAAAGTCTAGGAATTCAGTTGTCCTGGGCTGTTGGCCGCCCAACAGGGAAGCATCTGAATGAAACAAGTTTAGAGCAGTAGGGTCTTGAAGACACTGGCTGGGGTGAGCCCCTGGTAAAGGGTTTGCCCTGTAAGTATGAAGACCTGGGTTCATCTCCAGAACCCATGTAAAAAGGTAGACAAGTTGGTGTACAGCTAAAGTTCCAGAGCTTCCAGACAGTCTGATGCCTGGGGCCTGTGAACCAGCCAGCTTAACCTACTTCTCAAGTTCCAAAGAGACACTGTGTCTCAAAGTACAAGGTGGGGCCACAGAAATGTCTCAATGGTAAGGGTGCTTGCTACCAAGCATTGTGCTCTGAATTCATCCTCAGAACCCATGTGATAGGAGAGAATTTACTCCTGCAAGTTGTCCTCTGTCTTCCACACTTGTAGTATAAGGTGGCATTCTCTCTCTCTCTCTCTCTCTCTCTCTCTCTCTCTCTCTCTCTCTCTCTCACACACACACACACACACACACACACACACACACACACACACACAGAATGCCTGATCCAGGAACCATGTTGCTTCTTCCCGTGGAGTGGGGCAGGTATAAGCTTTGTCAACCATAGCACCTGGCACTGCATTGTTAGGCTCAGAGCTAAAGACCTGAGGTTGTGAGATTGTGTGTCCCATTCATCATCAACAAAAAGGACAATATGTTGGGGACACAGGAATGAGCCCAGTGCTTGCTCTCAAAGCGTCTCTAAATCAGGCTTGTGAGGATGGTAATGAGGACAAAGAACAAAGGATGTGGGGAAGTAACCTGGACTGGAAGTGACGACTGTGACCTCTGCATTAGGCCCCGTGATGACTAGTGTCTGAGGACGTGCTAACAGGGCAGGGTGCTCTCTGCAGCCAGATAACAGGCAGGGAGGAAAATTGTGTGCAACAAGATATTAAGGACCAATGGCAAGTAGCTGCACAGAGAGGCACAAGTGGGAATCAGTGCGGGAAGAGCAAAGTCTGTGTGGAGAGAGCCTCAGACGTCCTATGGTGCAAAGCCACTCAGCAGTGTCTCCTTCCAAGGCTTATCAACACACCCACCTGCAACGGGAAGATTATTGGGGTCACGCTGATTCATGTGAACCTTGAAACTTCTGTTTTATGCTCATCCTGTTACACTAGGGAAGTGCTTTTGCAATGAGGAGCCCCCTGATGTGGTTCAGCGCATACTCCCAGAAATAAGGTGTCTTCTGTTTGGGGGTTTCTTAGTGCGTGGTGCAGTTTGTGGAGGTTGTTACTTTCCCTTACAACCTCAGAAAGGATGCGGAGTGCAGAACACCGGGTGCTCTGATGGATTGTTTGTTCGGCAAATGTTTATTGAGCAATTGCCCTGGTGTTGGGAGGCGATGCAGATGGACACAACCTTAGGGTCCCACCTTCATAGAGTTTGCCTTCTGGTGGGAAGACATGAAGTGAAGAAGAGGGTGTCAGAGAGTCACAGGAAATCAAAGAATCAAGTGGAGCTGTGGGACAACAGTGACTGGAGTCAGGAGAGGGAAGAGTGCACCAGAGAAGAGGGAGGAGGAAGAAGAGGCACCATCCAGACTGAGAACAGGGCACAAGCCCCCTACGCAAGGGTCTGACAAGTGCAAATGCAGGGTGAGTCAGAAGATGCCCTGAAGAGTGAGGGAAAGAATGGCAGCAGCTGAGGCTGGAGGTGGCAGGACCAAATTTGAGGTTCGGAGAACAACGAGAGCCACTGTGAGTCCTCAGCAGAGCAGTGACTGAGTCGTGAATATCGGGGTTCCGAGTGAGAACCACTCCTAGCCACCATCTGACCTTATCATCCCCAGGTTCTCTGCAAAGTCAAAACAAGTGTTCGGAGTGCATCAGCTTTTATTTCTACAGCAATCTTTGTACCCAACCACCATAGCATTTTTAATAACAAACTGGCAGAGAGTCAGACATCTGTACTTGAAAAAAAAGCCAGGCCAAGTATTTCTAAATGTTTTATATTTACTTGTAACATTAGAATAACCACGAGGTTGCTTTCTACATAATCGGAACCATTCTCATTAGGGTCCCACAAACCTCGTCCTCCATGGGTCTGGATGGTGGTTTTCATTACAGCAGTAACATTGATCTGACGGGAGTGAATCTCTCCTTGAACATTTGTGGAAAAAATGGGGAAGAAGTTGAGAGGAGCCAGAGCAAGCCGGGAAAATGAGAACTCGGGGAAGATAACCATCAGCCTGGCACGGGGGTAGCATCGAAGGGGTCCAGGCTTTGAAGTCCAGCAGAGCTGGGCCAGCCATGCAGCTGGGCAACCTTAGGGAGTCACTTGACATTTCTGAGCTTCAGGTCACTCAAAGACCCTACTTCATGGAGTTGTGTTGAGGTCTAAGGGGAATATCACCAGTGAAGGGTCTGATCCAATCTTGCTCCTTGACGGCAACTTTCAAAATTACTGTTTCCATTATAGTGTATCTTGAAGTTTGTCTACAAAATCTAACAGATAAAATACAAGGTTTCCAGTTAACCTGAGTTTTTTTGGATTGTACTCAGCAATTATTTAGTGTAATTGTGTCATGTTCAGTACCTAGAATACACTTGGAGTTATAAAAGTACATATGTATACTTATCAAAAAATTAAATTTGACTAGGCACTTTGTCTGGAAACTTTATTCTACAAGTTTAATTGTCAAAAGAATATCAAGAAGGAGTGACCTTTGGGAGCTGACCCAGTCGGACAGCCTAGCCGGGCCTCTGTCAGGAGCACTTTAAAGCATAGGCCACAGAGACCAGACTTGACTTTGAGTAGAGGCTCTGGAAAGACAGGTCCAGAAAGCAGCTCAAAGAACTTGTGGTGAGCCCATGTGACATACTTTGCAGGCGTGCCATTCAGAGGCAAAGGACAAAAGAATACCAGCCCCACCAGTGCCCCGGAATAAACCTGGAACCAGAAAACGGAGAGGTCTCATGTCTGTCATTCCCTGCACCCAATGGGGAGCTAGATCTGTGTGCCCGGGCTGTGAATCTTCCCAAACAACACAGACTACAGGGCTATTTGCCACCTACTTATTTTATGCCTTATCAGAAAAGGAGGTAAAACTCCCAAGAGCAGCAGCCACTCTTTTAATCTTCCTCTGGTTCATTCATGGATGACAGGGGAGCTGGGAGCTGGGCATGGCTAGGCACCAGCTGAGAGAAGCCACCGAGGCCTGGTCCCTATCACATCCCTGCAAGCTGTGAGAGAGTCAAGTCCTGGGGACTTCCCAGGAGACCTGGGCTTGTACAGAAAGGATCCTAACATCAAGAAAAGCAGCCAGCCAGTAAATTCCTACTTACTTCATTTTCTAAGACTTCTGAATGTGTTTTGAATTTTCTCTAAATTAAGATAATCATGAAAGGTTAAGATATTTCAACAGAGTGCCACCTGATCCCAGGGCTTGAATTGTATGCCTAATTAGTTCCCGAACATATGGTTCAGAATGTCTTATAAAAACAGGGTAATGACTTGAGGTATATTTGGGTATTAGATGGAGCGATGTTAAAGGGACATTCAGACCCATCTCAAAGTGTTGAACCTGCCCTTTGGGCCATGAGCTTTAGCTGGCGTCTGTTTCAAAGAGATATAAATAAATAAATAAATAAATAAATAAATAAATAAATAAATAAATAAATAAATAAATAAATAGAAACCACTTTCCAATGGCCTCATGGTAAAACAAAATTCCATATGGAGATAGACATCAGGCATTAAAATACTTCAGATACAGCACAGCTGGAGGAACGTGTGGCCGAGGAACAGGAGTTGGGGGCAGTGAGGGGGGGGCTCATGCCAGGATGCACAGACCTAAGAACTGCTGGGGAAAATGCCTTACTGCGTCCAGGGAAGAAACTAATGAGTCACAAATGTCCCCAAGGCCTTTTGTTCCATCCTGGGCTTCAGCTGCCAACAACCCATTGGGTATACGCGTGTGTGGAACCTGGTCTGTGTCAGTCACTCTTCTCCACATCCTGCTCCCATGGGATCCCAACCTCCATATCTCACTCTGGAAGGCACTGTTGAGGCTCTCCAGCAGGAGGGCCTTGCTGCATGAACATCCTCAGTCTCTGATCTAGCCGTGGGGAGCATGTCAATCTCCTGTCCTAAGAAGGAGTGAACTCAATATACATTTTTAAAACATATGGTTGGTCTGCACATGGCAAGGTCCAGACAAGGCTCCTCTCTAAGTGCGCTTTCCATTTCTGCACCAGACCTCTCTTCTCTAGGCACTCTGGATTCATCCTGTTTGCAACATTCGGGCCACATGTTGAAAATGGCTACCCAGGGACTGGTGATATAGTTCAGTTGGTAGAGTGTTTTGCCCAGCATGCACAAAGACTTGGGCTTCCTCCTCAGCACTCAGTGTTTGCATAAACCTGATGTGGTGCACATGGCTGTAATCCCAGAACTCTGGGACAGTGACAAGAGGATCGTGAGTTCAAGATCATGCTTGGTTACATAGAAAGTTTGAGTTTGAAGCCAGCCTGCCCTACAAAGACTCTGTCACAACAAAAAGCAAGAAAAAAGCAATTGAGAAAGAGAGAGGGAGGGAAAGAGGGAGAGAGACTGCCTATTAGATATCTGTCATCTCAGGTCTTTAGAGAGATTACAGAAGACATTGTCCATCCCTTTATACCTATCCTGCCTCAGGCCATGCATCCATCTATACCTTCCCACCCTTTGAGTAAGGGTTCCTCAGAACCAGTTGGGTGGGTTTGTCATACATGGGAAGTGCAGAGCAGCTCCAGTGAGGAGGGGTTTGAAGGCAGACTCAGGGAGGAGCATCTGAGAGCAGGGTTGTATCAGAAACAGTAAATACAGGAGGAGAATGGCTTCCAGTGGAGGAAACAGGGATGTGTGTGCCCAGCTCTAAATGAAAAACTGATTGGGACAATGGTGGTTCCGGGTGACAAGGCCCTGCAGGGAAGTGCTTTCAAGCACCAATCCCAGAAGAAGGGAGGCCACAGTGTTGTCCCCGAATAGCAAGCTGTTGTCTGGGTTACAGCCATACACACCTCACCTGCCCATCACTCCCTCAAGCATCCTTGTCAGGCCCACAAGGCAGGTATGATCTGTCTTTTTGTTGTTTATTTTTTGTTGTTGTTGTTTTATAAGTAGGAAAATCAAAATCCCACAGCTCAGCTGTAATGTGACTCACATTTGAACCTGGACTCAGACTCCCCAAGTTCTCATTATGCTGAGAACTTCAGACAAGGGTCAGATTACAGAGGGTCTCAAAATTAAAGGAAGGGAACAGGGCAACCATACGCAGGAGATGCTGGAGCAGAAAGAGGCTTGGGCAGGAAGCCTAGGGAAGCAGCTAGAGTGCTCCCTCTGAGGCCATCAGAGCCGAACTGGGCCAGGGGCCAGGGGAGGAAGGAAAAGATGAATGCAAAAAAGGGAGGTAGAGGCCTGTCACGCAGAAGGCAGGAAAGAGCTTCCAAGACTCACTGCAGCTGCGCATCTAGAGGGGTGCTGGCCTTCTTCCAAAAGAGCCACAGCTCAGGGCAGATTCACAGAGCCAGGAGCCCTTACACACACGATGTCATTGGGCCACCCAACAACCCAACAGCAAAGCTGTTCTTACCTCTGCCATCTTAAAGATGGGCAAGTTGAGGCACCAAGAGGTTAATGAATTTGGCTTTGCCCTCTTTGGCAGGAAACAGCTTCAGCTGGAAAGTGACCAGAGCCTGAGTCCCTGACCACTGTCTACAATCACTCCATCATTGCACAATTCAGAAGACCGGGATGGGGGGGGGGGTCCTCACTGACCATCAAAATACATCGACCTAGATTGTTCCTAGCCTCCAAAACCCTCCCCAGTTTAGCCCAGTTACCTTTTTTCCTTTGTTCCCTCCTGGGGGAGCTCAGAGGGCTCCTGCTGCCACAGTGAAGCAAGTAGGAGGTCAGATCTGAGCTGTGATAGAGGGAGGAAGCGAAACCTTGTGAGCTGGGGACCCATCCTGGGGCAACGCAGCAGGAGACCTCCAAGCTGGGCCAAGCCAAGTGGGATGAAGATCAAAGGCAGTAGGGGGTGTAGGCGGGTGGTTCCAACAAGGAACAAAAGTGGGTAGGGTCCTCTGAGACTGCTTCCATATCATTCCTGTGGCTGTGGGGATGGACAGGCCTCTTCAAAGGCCTAGGATACCCCAACCTGTGTTGCAGGACAGAGTCCTGGGTCCCCAGGCCTGCCAAGATCTCCCCACTCCAGGGCTGAGGATATAAAGATCAGGAAGGGTTTTATGACTACATACCCTCCTTCACCCAGGCCATTGCTACTTTGAAGCTTGTTGGGGCTCAGTCCACAGCCACATGCTCAGGTGTTGCTGCTCTCCCATCCTGGGTGATACATGGAGCCTTCGTGATGCTGCCTGTCACACTTAGTGGCTGTGAGCACAATGCCACCCACTCTGCAGGTCTTCCAGAAGTCTTCAGACATGCTCAGTGGAGACACATTCCTAAATCCCTAGATCAATAAAATCAGTCAGCAGGGACATGTCCTAAGAAGCAAGACATACCCCTAGTAAAAGCACTGTCCAGGGAGCTCAGGCCCAAGATTCCACGCAAAGCACACTGATAGTGATATACACTGAGAAATGCAAGACAGAGTGCATCCTCCTGTGGCCCAAAAGAAAGACTGGCTGGTCTATGTTCCTGCAGAGGGATTACCTGGCCAGTCTGGGTATAAGTCAGGAGTCCCTGTTGTAGGACACTTAAATTGCTCCCAGTTGATAACTACTATTTTTAAAGAAAGAAGATGCATATTGTGTTCCTATGTACTGTCAGTCTATAGCAGTGAGTGTGGACCTCCTCTGTCTAGTAAAACCAGTCTTAGCAGAGGTTGTATCCAATGGTATTTTGAAAATAAAGGGTTTTCCTCTCCCAGAGAATGTGGTCAATTATTTTGCACTTGTGTGTGCACACACTCACATGTACACACACACACACACACACACACACACACACACACACACACAATTTGTGCATTTCAAGAACTGTTTGACAGTTAGTATGACAGTACACTCAGTATGTTCTGCTTTCCTATTACAAAAGCCCAGTTGCTGGGTCATCATCTGGGCAGCTCTGGTCATCACAAGGGAATGAGAACCACCATCCTGTTCAGCTGGTATCAGTTCAAAGCATTGCAGATGAAGGAGGCGTCGAGTGTCAAACAGCCTCTTTGGGAGTGTCCACATTCATCATCATTCCAACACACATGACAGTCTCTGCCACATGACTATCTTCACTAACCCTGAAGACCTGACTGGTACCTCTTTGGCTAGAAGGCCAAGGTTGGCTCCTTCTGGAAGCCCCTGAAGGGGCTCTGTTGCAAACCTCTCTCATAGCTTCTGGCACTTGCTGGTGTCCCTTGACTTATAGCAACATGGACCCAACCTCTGCCCCCATTTCACATGGTGTTTTCCTCTCTGTGTCTCTGTTTCCAAATTCTCCCATCCTAGGAAGAGCCATACTAACGATCTCATGCAAACTGGAATACATCTCCATAGACTCTGATTCCAAGCCAGGGCACATGCAAGTGAATTTGGGGTAAGAGAGATGCTGGAGACCCAGAACCACGTGGAGAATCAATAATTAGATGGAACAAATAGCAAGCTGTTTCTCCAGCCCGTTTGCTGCCAGCTTCCTTCCACATCCTTGGAACAGAAGCAGGTCCGGTGTGCAGGAGACTCTTCAGGATGTCCAGTCCTGCTCACTGGGCTGTGAGCTTGCATCGTTGTCAGAGGCTGAAGTCCTTTGCTTGGAGGCTGTTCAGAGACACCTCCCACCATAGCCATCACCATCTTGCTTTATAAGAGAAAATACTGAAGTCCTGAGAAATCATTTCCTTACGTTGTACCATTGATAAATGGCAGAGTCAAAACCAGGGTCAGCCCTTGACTCTGCCCAGTTTCCCTCAGACACGGACATTCCAATTTCTAAAAGCACCTATGGGTGGTTTACAAGAATCAGGGAAACTTTAATTCCTCTGCCACCACTCGTTGAAGACACTTCGGATTGTTCAAAAACAATAATGCTGTTATTATTTGACATAAATATGTTCACAGCCTTGTGAGAGGTGTGAATAAAAGCATCTTTGGAGAAGTGCAAATACAATTTCATTGTCACACAGAACCTAAGTGATGCAATGAAGGTGATCTGCAAATGTTACAGCCTCAGGAGTAACCTCCAGTGACTCTTTCCCTTTCCAAGCAGATTGCCCCAGGGCCATTCCATTATTCTAGCAAAATAATGACAATGTCCACTACCACCTCTTGAGAGCCTGTGACATTCGAGGCTCTAAATGCTGGGCACACCTTATCTCATTTCTCCTCCCAACAGCCCTCTAGGAGAGGACGTTCTTTCCCCTCTGCCAAGGAGGAATCTAAGTTTGGTCCACTGGTCTTAGGTGTTTTTTTCTCACCAGAATACCTCTGGGTGGGACAAGCACTCTTCAGTGGCCACAGTGTCATTATCTCTTGTCACTATAGCCACACTCATTGCAAAAAGTAAGGAATTACTTCTAAAAATAGCATCATTGAGATACCCGCATCTTGCATTAGTTATTCATTTAAAGTTTGTTTGAAAACCATCATTGTCAGCTTGACTGGATTTGGAGTCCTCTAGGAAACACACCTCTGGGTGTATCTGTGTGGGTGTTTCAGAGATGTTTAACTGAGAATGGAAGACATGCTCTGAACAAGGGTGGCACCATTCCATGGACTGGTGTCCTAAACTGAATGAAAAAGAAACAGGAAAAAGTCAGTTAAGCTCGTCATTTGTCTCTGTGTTTTCTGACTGTGGCCATGATGCGACCCACCGCCTCACTCTTCTCCACTATGTCCGCCTGCCACCCTCTCAGACTACGAGCCTAAGCAAACCATCCCTCCCTCTCTTTTTTCCTTAAGTTGCTATTGTCAAGCATTTTGTGACAGCGATGAAAAAAGAAACACAAACTGTGCTGGGGATTTTACACACACGTGTGTATGAAGCCCTCACCACAGCCAGCCCTTGAACATTCCCATCACCTGAAAGAGAAGGCCAGTGCCCAACAGCAACCATCCCTCTCCTGCCCTCCCTCCATCAACCTGAAGCAACCACTAATTTACTTTTTATCTCTATGGAGTTACTGATTCTATACATTTCATATAAACAAAAGCACACATGTGGCCTTTTGTGTCTGTCTTCTTTAATCTAATCTATCTTCCAAGCTCATAGACACTGCAAATGTGTCCATACACCACTGAGTGAACAGCATGTCACTGTATGGATATGGCACACCAGGAATGACATTCCAGAAAACCATCCTCCTGAAATGCAGATTAATGTCTTTATTCAGCAAAGGATGTGTGATTAATAAAATGGGTGAAGGGATATAGTTTGAAGCTTATAAAGGCCTCATTCCTTAGGTCCCAACAGAGCTGTTTTTATGCTTAAAAAAAGATTTATTTATTTATTTGTTTATTGATTGATTGATTGATTGATTGATTGATTATATATACGGTGTTCTCTCTGCATGTATCCCTGCAGGCCTGAAGAGGGCACCAGATCTCATTGCAGATGGTTGTGAGCCACCATGTGTTTGCTGTGAATTGAACTCAGGACCTCTGGAAGAGTAGCCAGTGTTCTTAACCTCTGAGCCATCTCACTTTTACCAAGAAGCTAGGCTACACTACAGTAGGATTTTGTTAGTAATCTTTTCTTGATATGAAGTGAAAATCAAGGGTATAAACAGAACTGAAGAAAATGGTCTCAGGCCTCCTTAGAAATCACAGAAATAAGAGCTGGGGAGAGATCTCAGTAAGGATATGCCTTGCAACCAATCTCACACACACTTGTCATTCCAGCTCTGGTGAGGCAGAGGTAGGCTGATCCCTGGGCTCACTCAGTGGTGAGCTCCTAAGTTCCAGGCCAGTAAGAGACCCTGTCAGAAAGAAAGAAAGAAAGAAAGAAAGAAAGAAAGAAAGAAAGAAAGAAAGGAAGGAAGGAAGGAAGGAAGGAAGGAAGGAAGGAAGGAAGGAAGGAAG